CGCCGCAGAATGGCCAGCAGCAGCACCACCTGCGGCGTCATCCCACACAGCACCGCTATGGCTACGGGCGACACGCGGCCAAGAAGCAGCGCACCATGGCGTACATTGGTGAGATACGGGAGCAGTCGTTTGACGACGCACCCACGCCACCAGCACCGGTATCGCAGGCCGCCACGGGTCGACCGTCTCCTGAACAACTGACGCGACTGTGCTGGCGAAGCGTGGATCCACACGGACGCCTCATGCTGCTGTTGGAATCGAACAGCACCAACTGCAATCCCACTTCCGTCACCGTCCTAAGTTTGCTGGACGGCAAGCGCCTGCTATCGCTGGATGACAAGAGCGTACCAGTGCTGCGTTCCAGCATGTTCGCCGACGCGGCAAAGCAGAGGCCTAGACTGGCGCGGAGCAAGCAACAGGTGCAGCCGGCAATGCTGGGAGCATCTCTGTCCACGTTCACGTCCGCTACGTTCTCGCCGGACAGCAAGCAGCTGCTGGTGGCCATGCACTCGTTCTTCATCCCGCACGGCGGGGAGGAGTGCTCCGTGTTCTCCATTGATTTAAACCGGCCCACGGTCGGTGGCGACAAGAAGCCGGTGAAGCTCTCCTCGCCGACCAACGCCGTGGCCCGACACCTGACGGCTACCGACTTTCGCGCCGTGCAGCCGCTGTGCGTACGCACGCCGGACGTGCAGACCAGCGTGCGTCACGTGTGCTGCGTCTACCACCCGGCGTACGCCATGAGATCAAATATCTACGCATTGCCGGCCTCGGGGGCCATGACGACGAAGAGTGAGACGGCGGCGCGTGGTCGTCATAGTTACCCGTGGGACAAGTCCAAGAGCCTGTCGCGCACGACCAGCACTCTCTCGTCGCCAATCGCTCGCCATCGGCAGATCCGACGCCGCAGCTCTTTCTCTGACGTGGAGGCGACGAGTGCGTCGCTCATCGGCCAGGAGCAGGGCAGGCAGCTGGCCGGCTCCATAGCCGTTCTGAGCATCATGCAGACGCGTAAAGTTCTCGAGCCCGTACAACAGTGGCGCCGGGTAATGCTGTTGCACGCCGATACGGACACCGTGCTGTGGGAGCGAGTGCGTCGCGTCACCGGCCACCAGTCGCACACCGTGCAGCTGGAGTTCTCGCCCGACGGCAGTACGCTGGCCCTGCTGCTGGAGTTCGCCAAGGTGGAGCTGCTCTCCACGAGCGACGGCTCCGTGCTGCACACACTACTACCCGCCAAGGAGAACAACCTCTCGTCTCTGGGGAGCGTGGTCTTCTCCAGCGATCAGCGGTACATTGCCGGCGTCATCAACAGCAAGGACATCTGCCTGTGGTCCGGCTCGGTTGCCACGCTGAAGCACCTCAGCTGCTTGGCGGTGAATCGCCTGCGGGACGAGATGCGGCAGCGCAAGAAGCAGTCGCGGAGTCCGGCAGCTGTACGAGCACAGCCGTGTGGTGGTGTGGGAGGTAGGTAGCACGTGTTCATCCCGGAATACGTGTCAATGTTCAGGAGCGTGATTTACACTTCCCGCTGTGGCTAGTGGTATGTGATCGGCAGCTTCTTGAAAAAGATGCCAGCCTGAACTATGCACTAATACTTGTGTTTTCACTTGCCTGTTGGTTAGACAGAGTTGTCTCTTAGATTTGCTTCAGTCCTACGCAGTTAACTGCCCCTAGTGTAAGAGCGATGCACATTTTGCCTGGGTGCTCTGTACTTTTTCCTCGTTCTGGTATCATTGGATTTGCTGGCGACAGTGTGTGGCAATAGTCTATATGGAGGGCCTTGATTGTCCTTGGTATTCTGTATGGAGGACCTATAAAACAGAAAGGTTACAGGCAGTCCAATAGAGTGCTCAGTGCTCTGTGGATGGCCTATACAGTCAGATGTCCTAACCCGTTGTAGCCCACAAGATGAACATGCTTGAGCTTGAGCTTTTCTCTTAAACAAATGTTTTCACACTTACACCCGTTCACAGTCAGTATTTCAGTGGCGAGTTCTGCTACAATCGATCTGCTTCGAAAAATCATTGCAGCACCCCCCCCCCCCCCCAATTCAAATAATTAGTATTTATGCAGGCGTTTGGCTGCCTTGACCCGCTCCACCTGGCTTAGTGCTTATAGATTTCAATGACACGGGTTTTGAATATAGCGTGGGTCTACTGCATGCACGTCTTCGTGCCAAGATTTTATTCGTCAGAGAGACAAATTATCGTTCCTATACTAGTATTGCCGCTTGCATTCTTGCTATCGGCCATGCTCGTTCATAGATCACCTAGCTAAAATATATAACAATATTTAAAGATTTCTTGTTGCACCAGTGGAGTCGGATCTGCGATAACCAAACTGGATATACAAATTTGCGTTACCATGGTTATAGGGCTGGCCAGATTTTCGAAGAGCGCTGCCTGATATTCTTCCCCTCGCTGATATCTGTACTGAGTTCGACTGTATGGCTGGGCGATGCTCTCTGCTATTCAAATTGATGGCCTGTGATGATCTGTTCCCTGGTAATGGTAGCATGCGCAGAATTAATCTATGTGCAGGGAATTTTCTAGAACTGCCCCAACCGGTTTTCGACCGGTTGAAATTGTTGGCGTTGGCGACCGGTTGAAAAGTTACAAATCAGTTCCAACCGCCCGTACTTTTCTGTGGGTGAATGGAGCTGCTTATATCTTTGCTACACTCCAGCACCAAGAAATCTGTTGCTGTCGAGTGCCATATTTGGGTTGTATTTTGAAAAAAATTTCCGGGGGACCCCCGGACCCCCCCCCCCCACTCTTCATTGAACCGTAACCGGTTGGAAATTCGTTCTAGAATATACCCTGATTTTTTGTGATATCCCTCTCACGCTCTACAGAGACAAGCGAGAATTATTGTTTTTCATGAGATTGCATTGTTTCGAATGGAACACTGTGCACTGCTTGTGCACTGCTTGTGCACTGCTTGTGCACTGCTTGTGCACTGCTTGTGCACTGCTTGTGCACTGCTTGTGCACTGCTTGTGCACTGCTTGTGCACTGCTTGTGCACTGCTTGTGCACGCAAAAAGCACAAACTGCTGAGGTTTACAGAGTTCGTCGCAACTCTGAGTTTCTTGCGCAAAGCAATCATCAGACCCCGTCACCACGTCCACGATTCATGCCTGCGATGCTGCACCGCTGCTTTGCATGTCATGATTGGAAGCTGTGGCCTTAGTAAAAAAAAAAAAAAAAAAAAAAAATCATCAGGCGATTTGAATTTCCTCCGCATGGAACACTGCTTGTATGTAGATAGCAGCCAGTCAACCAGATCATGCATGCCGTGTCTTCTTCAAGAAATGACATTACCCTGGGGTGTCGGAAGATATTCGACATTGGTGCGTCTATGGAAGGGGGGGGGGGGGAGGTCCTGTGGGCATCCCCTGTGAGAAAATCGGGCTCAAATAGCTCATAATTTATTATATATTGCTTCAAAATCACGATAGGAAATTATTGGTGCGACTCTGTGCAATCCAGGTAGAGCACACATTCACTGGTATGCCAATAGGCAACACCCATGCATGTTCTTTCTCACACCTCACATCAGCCATGACCATGCAGTGCAGGGTTGGCAGCAGACAGCCATAGTGATCATCAGCCAACGAGAACCGTACACTACCAGTATGATTATGCACGTCCCTGTGTGATAGTCATCACATGCTTGCCGAGTCAACTGACGTGAAATAGGACTGATGGCTGGTTTCCCGTATCTACACACGTTGCCCTATATTAGGCAGCACACAGTAGTCCCTCTATAATCCGGCATCATTTGTGCCACGGAAAATCTGCTGGATTAGGGAGGGTGCTGGATTAACAAATCAGATTTACTGCTGCAATGTACATGAAGAGGACATTTTGGCTAATGAAAATTGTGCTGGTTTATCGAGGGTGCTGGTTTAGAGGGGGTGCTGGATTATAAAGTGCTGGATTAGAGAGGGACGACTGTATCAGCAGCAGACCTCAGGTACGCACACCGTCCGAAAGACAGTACCGTGCTTTCTAGAGTGCTTTTCGGAGTATAGGCCGGACTGGAGTATAAGCCACACTGGAGTATAAGCCACACTGGAGTATAAGCCACACAGGAGTCTAAGCCACTCTGGAGTATAAGCCACACTGGAGTATAAGCCACACTGGTGTATAAGCCGCACTGGAGTATAAGCCACACTGGAGTGTAAGCCACACTGGAGTATAAGCCACACTGGAGTATAAGCCACACTGGAGTATAAGCCACACTGGAGTATAAGCCACACTGGAATATAAGCCACACTGGAGTATAGGCCGGACTGGAGTATAAGCCGCACTGGAGTATAAGCCACACTGGAGTATAAGCCACACTGGAGTATAAGCCACACTGGAGTATAAGCCACACTGGAGTATAAGCCACACTGGTGTATAAGCCACACTGGTGTATAAGCCACACTGGAGTACTATAAGCCACACTGGAAGCCACACTGGAATAATAGCCACACCGGAGTATAAGCCGCACCCAGATTTGTCTGTCACCAAATACAGACATTAATCCTATTTATCATCGTTACTTTTGACCATTGTAGTATACATGTACCGTACTCGCGCAATTAGAGCCCTCTCTTGAATAGTGCCCCCCCCCCCGGCCTGTACCTAAGCGCATGTGCAAGTTCGGTGTTCTTTTGCTAATGTTCTTGTTCATGTCGTTGTACTTGTTTTATGCTGGATGACGCAAACGTACCAGCATTGAAAAAAATAGTACCCTCTCTTGAATAGTGCCCTATCCGTACCAGCATTGAAAAAATAGTACCCTCTCTTGAATAGTGCCCCATCCGTGATGGACATTGAAAAAATAGTGCCCTACGGGCAGTAATCGCGCGAGTACGGTAAGCCGTACTGACCGGCCTAGTTTGGGTGAACCTTTAGTGGCTAAAGTGCAGCGTATACTCGGGAAACATGGTACACGCACCCATTCCATGCAGATCAGGTACACACAATAAGTCACATTCACAACGGTGTTTACAACGAGCACATATTATTGCGCTCAAGTTGCACTCTCGATGAGGCATCATTCTAACTCTAATTTAAAATTTAAAATAATTATAGGATATACTTTAAGAGTAGTAGCCTGCTGAGACTTCAATTGTGAACTGCTAGATTTTTGCTGCGATATAATTGGGACTGTTATATTATCTCCATGAGGAGGGAGAGCTATCACATTATTTCAACTGTTTGAAATACTGTACATTGTACTAGCATTCTGTAGGGGGGGGGGGGGGATTTTGTTGTAAGTGAAATGGGAGGGGTGATGAGGGCAAATATGACTAAATGACAACTAACTAACAAACTAGCGCACAACAATTGCAATGCGGACGGCGAGTGTCACGTCTGAAATAAATGACACGACGGTACAGAGAGTGTTTCGGATACTCTGTTGAGACATTTCGACCAGATCTACATACAAGCGTATGGGTTGCCATGGCATCAATCACCATACAAGAGCATGGGTTGCCATAGCATCCTTGACCATACAAAGGCATGGGTTGCCATGGCATCAATCACAAGACAAGCGTATGGGTTGCCATGACCATGCAGGTGCATGGTTCGCCATGACATCCACCACTACACTACCTCATGGACGTGCCATACAACTAGGATGGGAATTGCACGGTGAAGTCGGAACGGAACGAGCCATCACCCTCGTCAAACGGATACCACTGAAAGCATGCAGAAGAGGGAGAAAGCAAAAACGAGACAAGGATTTGCTCAACCAGTGTGAAGTCTAGGGCAGGCTAGCACAAAGACAAGGCAGCCACACGACCTGCGCATCACTGCAATAGTGTTTGCGGCGAGTTCAAACGCGGGGACCAAATGCACCGTTCCAGTGCACACGTTCAGCAGTAGACAGCATATTGCACCAATAGTTTTAATAAACAAGCGTTTCGGAGACAACAGCAGCCTTTCGTTGTGTGCCTTGCGATCATCGTATAACATTTTACACATACAGCACACATACATGTCGACATATAGGAAAAGCTTACAGTGCAATTAGTCCTCCTTGTAGCCATAATCATTTTAATATCCAATGTTATCCCTCGTGCAACGCTGGTTGTTTTTCCTGCAGTTGATGCACTCTAACTTGGACACATAGGACACAGCTTACCATCACATAATTCGTTCCCCAGATATTGTTCACCAGGTTGAATGCAAATCCTTCGTCGACGTCAGGTTCGGCCATTGGGGTTGGGAATGGTGTAGCTTCCCCTGAGAAACAAACAATAGGAGTATGTATAACCATCATGGTCACAAGGTCACTGAGTACAGTCAACTTCGCTTATAACGACACTCGGCGGGGCATCAGAAAAGTGTCCTTATTCGCGAAGTGTCGTTATGCCCGAAGTCTCATTATACGTGTCACAGTTGGACGGGAATTTGCTCTGGGCATGAAAATTATGTCGTTATTCGCGAATTGTCGTTATATCCGCAGTCGTTATTAGGTAAGTTGACTGAGTATACTCATTGCGCAATGGCATAATGTAATCATGAACACCCTACACACAACCACCCGGGCATGGTTGTGTGTTTTTCTTCTTCACGGAATCAAGTTCCAAGGAGCACACGCATAATGACCCAGGCAAAACAGCATAGCGAGGGCACTGAGCTGTCAAGCTCTCTCGTTTCACACCATTGTCCTTTTTAATGTGAAACCGGTGCTGTTCAGTATTCCTACTCACATACCAATGTACACGCAGAGCATTTGGTTCGTGTTTCACGTAACTCATCCAAAAAAGCCGGTTCCGCTTATGCTACGATGGTCAACATGATCTGTGAATTACCAGGTAGATATCTGTATTTTGTGACAACTCAAGCTGGGTGCGGCTTAAACTCCGAAAAATACGGTATAATATCTTCTTCTGTCAACTTGAGCCAATTTGCAAATGATGGTAGGTGCAACTCGGCCATAGTTTGCTAATAGAGAGCTTGGCTACAGGAAAACTGGCTCTCTCAATCAGGTGACAGTAACGTTAGAACTTACCTATGCAAACAATTGGTACGTGCTTGCTGAGGAAGTTCAGTCCTGGGTCGGATGCATATGTTACTCCATCACTGCCCACACCATGTGTGTGTTTGCTGCCATTACTGAAAGGTGGACAGAGAATGGAAAACGGCACAGGGTTAGGTTGGACATGGACATAACATATTTAGTAAACAGTGATATGTGCATTCCTGTAGATGTGCGCGTATGTGCGTGTGTGTGTGTGTGTGTGTGTGTGTGTGTGTGTAGGAAGTTCATACCAACCCATCTGGTCATGCCTCCACTCTGGCCTATCTCCTCCTCTCTCTCTCCCTCCCTCCCTCCCTCCCTCCCTCCCCCTCCCTCCCTCCCTCCCTCCCTCCCTCCCTCCCTCCCTCCCTCCCTCCCTCCCTCCCTCCCTCCCTCTCTCTCTCTCTCTCTCTCTCTCTCTCTCTCTCTCTCTCTCTCTCTCTCTCTCTCTCTCTCTCTCTCTCTCTCTCTCTCTCTCTCTCTCTCTCTCTCTCTCTCTCTCTCTCTGTCTCTCTCTCTCTCTCTCTCGACGAGTCGTAGGATTGTATTCTGGATGGAGTTGACAGTTTGTGCTGAGGACAGATTCAGTGTCAGTAACTCGCGGAAGGACAGGCGGTATGCGGATCTGGCCGATCAATGCTGAGCAAACGGGTGGCAGGTCGTTTCTTTTTCGGTTGAGGTAGGTGTGCGTGGTTTCATCCCGGACTCTCTTCGGAGGGCTCTGAAAGCGCTTGGGTTTTCTAATCGAAGAATAAAATTTATTTGTAATTTGTGCAGTAAGACGTCTCTGCGAAGCAGCTACATCATCTGGTTGCGACGTCAACAAAAACACTGGTCGGAAGATCCACTTTTCTGAGGTACTGTATGTGGGGCTCCGTTTATTGAGGTGCGTTGAAATTTATTCCTCTTTATCTTATTATTTCTTTTCTATAATTTCCCCATATGAGTTCCTATCAGTTGCTGTGAACACCTTGAGTGGAGAGCGCTTGCTCGAGCGTTGAACCGGGTTCTTAATCCACCATACCCAGTTCGCAAGGCTGGGCGGGGTTGTGAGCAGGCTTTCATTTCATCTTTTCTTATTATTTCTTATTATTTCTGCTTTTCATCTCATTACAAAAATTCTGCGCCTTTTCTCCATCTGCGCATAAAATCTAGACTGACAACCTGCTTGTTAAATCATGCACCTGCTTTCAGGCGTAAAAACCCTGTTGTAGAGGTCTCAGTCCTCATTTGTTAGACTTACCTGTCTTTATAAATGTAACTTACTCTCTCTCTCTCTCTCTCTCTCTCTCTCTCTCTCTCTCTCTCTCTCTCTCTCTCTCTCTCTCTCTCTCTCTCTCTCTCTCTCTCTCTCTCTCTCACACACACACACACGCACACACATGCACTTGTACCTGTTGCTCACTGCCAAAACTGGTCACATGGGTCTCCCCGGGAGAGGGGAGAGAGACTCAAAAGGAATCTTGGAAAGATGACTCAATTGGCTATTGAACCCCCCCCCCCACACACACACACATGCACACATACACACACACACACACACGCACGCGTGCGCACGCACACACACACACACACACACACACACACACACACACACACACACACACACACACATACACATACATACATACACGCACGCGCGCGCACACACACACACACACACACACACATAATATGAACGCACACACAGTGCTCATAACAGAGGGGAACATTCATCTACCAAATACACCCGGAGATAGTACTGACCTGCCCACGTCAAAGACACTGATCTTCTCCCTATCTTGTCGACCATCATGGAAGACGTATTGGCAACATTGGGTTTGAACTGTAGCCAAATGGACTCTGTCACAAATAAACACAAGAGACAACAACACTGCAGGAGATGAAATAGAATAGAGAAGGTATTTGATCAGTTGTCTGAAGACGGCCGTCTTGGCATGAAAGTATTAGTTACCACAAACCAGACGCGTGGTACTCTGCGACTCGCGTGTGTGTGTGTGTGTGTGTGTGTGTGACTGCTCTGATTTTGCATTGCGCACTCTATCGAACTGCAGGACTCCGCTCTCTCTCTCTCTCTCTCTCTCTCTCTCTCTCTGAGAAGGTATTTATCAACGTTTTCAAACCAACATAGCCGTGTTTGGTGTGTACACACATGACTACACACGCCAAACTCAAGTTGTAGCTGAGATTCCTCTCCCTCAGGGGTGGCGCACACACAACGTGCCCTGATGATCATGAACACACACCACCAGGAACAACAGCGATGCTATGAACATTAAATCGAAACAGATATGTTAGGGAGAGGCTGGCTGGTCGGCCCAGTTTGGAAACACTTTCCACCGCCATGGCTGTGTTGTACGAGCAAGCTTCATGTCAAGGTGCTGAGCAGTCTTCGTTTTGTTGAATTCTTTGCTCGTGAGCATCCAAACATACATGCCTACCCACACACACATACAGAGTACAGTAAAACCTGTCAAGGTGACCACTCGGATATGGCGACCACCTGTCCTAGAAGACCACTAAAACCAGGATCAAGGGATGCTATTTCCAGTCAAACGACCCTGGATAAGGAGACCACCTGGTAACGGAGACCACATTTTGAAGATCCCATGAGCGGTCGTCTTAGACAGGTTTGACTATAACTGATCCTGGTTCCTGCTCCACTGTCTGAGCAACGTGCATCGCAACCTTCGGGTACTCAGCAATATTGGCACTCTTGATCCGCATCCTGCCTTGCGTTCAGCCCAATGGAAATCTGCTCTGGAACATTGTGACAGCCAGCATCTCCTGAAAATTGACTCTAAGATTCCTTTGCACATGAAATCCAAATCCTGTACATGCTTTAAAGAACACATGATCTTGAACTAAATTGTATTCTGGCTAGCAATGCCCCGATTTGCGTGTTAAAAATGTGCTCAAATACTGCTCAGAGCGCCTTACCCGGTAGTCGTGTTGGCGTTTTGTTGAGCAGCATGACACTGAGCTGCAGTGACGCGTGTGACACGGTGATGTCCAGCCAGACATCCGCCGGTGCACCGTAGTCTCTGACTAACTCGGCGGGAAAAGCCAGCTGAACAAGGAATGACGACGACATGTTCTTCTCGCCATCTGCCCAGGACACAAACAACAAGAGAGCTAACTACTCAGGTGCTGGGCTGTAATTACCTTTTTATTTTTTATTTTTTTAAAGAAACATAAAGATGAACTCTCCAAAAACAACAAGTAACGCCAAAGCACGAAAAAAGGCCAAAAACTAAACCAAGAATATGTGCAATAACATGTTATTTAGAAAGACAGGACAAGTGAATTCTTAGTAATTACCAGGCATGCACCACCCTCAGGGGAAAACACTGAAAACCCACTTGCTACAGTGCTACAGTTCCCTGCCAACTGCCACCTACAGGCATGCAGTCAACCTCGCGAATAGCAACCTAGTACGTAACAACAACTCACGAATAGCAACACTATCTTCAGACTTAGTAGCCACTAGATGCATGGCACTTTTACCCCCGCGAATAACAACACTTCTCATGGTCGATCCAGGGTCGTTATTCGTACGGTAGACTGTAGTTAGTATGCGCGGCGTTACTCACAGTTCTTTCTCCAGACTGCCACCAAGTCCGCCTCGATCTCCTGATGCTCAATCCCAGTGACGTTTACCAGACCTGGCTTGCCAAACGATGAGTCCCAGCCAATGGCCGGCCAGAAGTCCAGATAGTTCAGCATGAATTTCTGTGAGAAAGCATGCGAACAGGGAGTATAGTGTATATGCTATAGGGTATCTCTTTTGGTGAGATCTCAGTGCCCCGTGGCACAACCCTCGTAATAGACACAAGCTCAGAGTTTCTCTTGTTGATTAGAAGGTGTTCTTTAGTGATCTGTCCCTGTTCTCGGGAGTTGTGTGATTGTAAGAAAGGTGTGCAAAGTGAGTCGTACATGTACGGAAAAGTGTAGTATCGTCCTCTTTACAGAGGTGACACAGCGTGACACAAGTCGGCAGGAAAACCGCGAGTTCCCATGTAAGGAGCAACACACTCTTCCCCTACTATCGCCAAAGTCGCACCAACCTCTTCTTCACAAAGTCATAGAAGCCACGGCTTTTATACAAGACTTTACAGTATGTCACTGACAATGACGCACAGGCGCGGAGGACGTATCTATACGTCTTTTTCAATGCCAAATAAGGAGTGCAGAGCCTGGGCGCCATAACCTGAAGCCTTAAATGGGTTAAGAGATACTGTAGTGTGCTGCGGTAGAACCGCGTTGCCGGCGACAACAGGTTCAAATTCAAGCGCGTTCATCCACAGGTCATCATCAGTGCCACAACTCTCCAACTAGAAAACATAGTGTGAAGCCCCAAGCACTGCATTCCTACCTCAAAGTCCTGCTGCGTGAACGACTGGTACAGAAGAGATGCCATGGACGTGGCTGTCTCTGTCGACGCGTACACCCGCTTCCCGATACTCAGATGACTAATGCTGAACGGCTGCGAGGAGAAATTTATCAGGACATCTTCGCCAACGGTGAAGCCCTTGGCCGGCAGAGTGGACACTTTGAAGTAGCCGGCAAGATTCGGTGCAGGTACTGCTCTGAGCAGGGCAAGCTCCTCTTCCAGTTCAGCAGCCAGCGGATGATCTTCTAGCGCTTGGAGGGCATAGGTTATTCCCCAGTCTCGTTGCTCACGCCAGCTGTTAGCCACCGCTACATAGTTTTGGTTTTGCATGAGTGGATGAAACTGCAGCAGCGGCACACACACATAGACAGCCAGACAAAACATGTGCATTCACACCGACACATTCAAAGATACAATGTTCACATGAATATAAGCACTCATGCACACGTGCACGCACACACACACACACACACACACACACAAACACACGCGCAAACACACACACACACAATAGACACAAACAGCAATAACGTCAGCTACAAACAATGACGGGCCTTCGTGTTAGATGAGAAAGAAATTCAAGACACTCATCCATTATAATTATGTTGGGCAACAGAAATGGGAAAAACCAGGATACAAAAGACAGCAATCTGAAATCCTGAACAGTTCATCGTAGATACCTATGAATGCTTTGCTCCTCCTGCCTGGGCAAAAGACGGACAAAGGGATGATATCCTGCTGTGCCAAAAGCAGATCCAGATGTCGGCATCACTGAATATTGTAAACTGCCTAATATTCGCGACGGATGAATGTTCGCTATTTTCGCGAGAAGAGCGTAACGCGAATATTAACCAGCGTGAAATCAAGCTTCAACAGTGGGTGTATGTAGGTGGCCCCAGTGCTTCGCAAACTTGCTGGTTCTAAGAAATCGCGAGAATTTAGTGATGCGAATATTGGGCGGTATACAGTAGTTGAGGGCTGTAGAAGCTTCATCTACCTTACGAAGTTAGGCCTGAGGCAGGTGATGGGTGACTTTCGCATGCAGAGCAGTCCGGCAAAACAACGTTTTACTTGATCAAGACGGGTAGTAGGCAGCAGCATTCGGCCTTGTCCAGATTATTATCAACACCACTTGAACAATGGAATCCATTTTCTCGATGTTTCCCTCTAGCTCCTGGGCCCAGTCTAACATACCTACATTGTAGGTCTGGTAACGAAACTTTGCCCACGAGAGGTGATCGTTCTTCCTTGAACTATGGAATCTGTTTGGATGTTTCCCACTTGGTCCCACCCTAAGATACAGTACATGACGGTGCCGGCGTTGGAATCGGTCATTGAGTCTTGTTTTCGTTCTGTTTTTTTTTTTCTGGGTTTCCTCTCCTTCCGTGGCTCCCATCTGTTACCTTGTTCCTTTTTTTTCAGTTCTAATTCAATTATACCTTTTCAATGATGGTCCTTTATCACTGTCTTTCTCACGCAAAAATAAGCAAGGCTTTTCATAGTGTTTATTTTGCCCGCAAAAGAGGCCTGTTCCACTCTGCCAAAAAAAACGAAGATGCATAGTCATTGTAGGTGCGGTAATGCTAACTTTTGTAAAGGCAGAGGGGTAGTACCTGATCATTCTTGAAGTTGATGTTATCGTTGAGAAACCCAACATACGCCAGACCCCATGTGTGCTCACTGGCCTTGATCAGCAGCCTGGAGAAGTTGTACACCCTAGATAGGCAGTGAGAGTGACACAATGATTACCGTTTGCAGTCAGTCACGCATGTATGTCCACGGGCATACGCTGCACAGACATAACATGCGAGTGTGAGTGAGAGAGAGAGAGAGTGTGTGTGTCCGTGTGAAAGAGAGAGACACACACAGAGAAATAGAGTAAGAGGTCGAAGAGGGGAGGGACAGACAGACTGACTGACAGATAGAAAGAGAGAGAGAGAAAGAGAGAGAGAGAAATAGAGAGAGAGAGAGAGAGATAGAGATAGAGAGAGAGAGAGAGAGATAGAGAGAGAGAGAGAGAGAGAGAGAGAGGGAGAGAGAGAGAGAGAGAGAGAGAGAGAGAGAGAGAGAGAGAGAGAGAGAGAGAGAGAGAGAGAGAGAGAGAGAGAGAGAGAGAGAGAGAGGTGAGAAACAGAGAGAGAGAGAAACAGAGAGAGAGAGAGAGAGAGAGAGAGAGAGAGAGAGAGAGAGAGAGAGAGAGAGAGAGAGAGAGAGAGAGAGAGAGAGAGAGAGAGAGAGAGAGAGAGAGAGAGAGAGAGAGAGAGAGAGAGAGAGAGAGGTGAGAAAGAGAGAGAGAGAGAAACAGAGATAGAGAGATAAAGAGAGAGAAAGAGAGAGAGAGAGAGAGAGAGAGAGAGAGAGAGAGAGAAAGCGAGAGAGAGAGAGAGTATGCAAGAGTCAAAGAGAAAGAAAGAGCACAAAATTGAAACAAACGGGCTCAAGCTTGAAACACATGTAAGCACATTGGTGACCCAAAGCGGATAAAGCTTCTACGGTTCTCCTGCATACTAATTTCCAGTATGTACTGTATTTCTATTCTTCCACGTCTTTAGAAGCATGCTGCCGATACCCTACTGTACCTGTTGTCGGAGAGAGAGCAGTGTCCAGCAGCAAGGCAGCCTGTGCGCGCAGCCATCATCACACGGGCAGCCGCAGTCTTGAAGTGATCCGAAGGCACGCCGTAAATCCTATCGGCAGGCCGCACGGAAACAAATGGAACAGGTATACAGGATAAGACATCAGAGGAGAATGTATGAGAGGAGAGGAGAGGAGAGGAGAGGAGAGGAGAGGAGAGGAGACAAGAGTGCAGTGAAGATAAGGATATGTGTAGATTCACACTCCACAGTCCATTCATAAAAAAAAGATGCTCTCTGCCTCGGGCAAGCTCCTGGGTTTTGGTGATTTATGGTGATTTTATGGTACACCGTGCAGTGGAATGAAATTTGAAAATTCAAAAAGTCACCTCAACGGGGATTCGAACCGGACAATGGACTGTTGCAAGTGGAGTCAAACAGTCTGGATTTACAGTAGAACCTGTGGCTAACGACCACCCTGGCCTTGGGGCCAGAGAAAGCGGTTTTTAGTGGCAGGTGGTCCCTAGTTAGAGGTTTGCACCGCACAACCATAACATATGAATGTGAGACCGTCTGTCCGTGCCTGGCAAAGTGGCCTGTAGTACACCAGGCTGGTTGCTAGTCACGGTGGTCTTTAGTTACAGGTTTTACTGTAGTACCAGGCTGGTTGCTAGTCACGGTGGTCTTTAGTTACAGGTTTTACTGTAGTACCGGGCTGGTAGCTAGTCACGGTGGTCTTTAGTTACAGGTTTTACTGTGCATGGCTTTCCCGAATTCAGTGCTCCTGAGGAAAACTTGGCCGAAACCCTATTCTTTTTACGACTTGCTTTTGTCAGAAGTAAACTGCGGAAACATAATTGGAAGAGCATTCCATAGCGGAGTGGATAAACAATTCAATTTTTCACCCATTTATGGTCAAAACCAAGATGATCATATTTTTTACGGATGTACACTGCCAAAGTTAAGCGATGTCCGTCCCTCTCTCTCACCATGTATCCCCAATCTCCTTGTCATACACGGGTAGCTGATCAGCGTGCGGTTGTATGGCACGCACAAACGAGTCATAGTCTGTTGCAACGATCTGGGAATGATA